GGGTTAGGGTTACGTTACCAGGAACTCATAGAGCAACATGGACTTCACCAATAAATTCTGAGTGATTGGATATGGTTAGGAGGGCACTCGCTTTTCTAGCCTGGCCTATGTATGTTTCCTAGTAAAATACATAGGAAAATCCCATTGGAGGAAAATTACACTTAGGGTTAGGGTTACGTCACCGTGAACTCCTAGAGCAAAATGGACATCGCCAACAAACTCGGAGTGCTTGGGTATGGTTAGGAGGGCAATGACTTTTCTAGGCTGCCCTATGTAAGTTTCCTGGTAAAATACATGGGAAAATCCCATTGGAGGAAAAATTCTGTGCAGAATACCAGCTGGAAGGGAACTCGGAGGTCTTCTAGTCCAGCGCCTGCTGAAAGCAGGAGAACCCTACGATGGAATTTTACTCCAACGGGCCCTATTAATAAGGTGTTAATACCGGTAATAAAGATAGAGAATACCGTCATTTTAAAATGCCATTAAAAAGGTTTATTTCTTTTGTTGTTGTTGTTAATTGCGAAGTCGTGTCCGACCCATCGCGACTCCATGGACAACGTTCCTCCAGGTCTTCCTGTCCTCTACCATCTTCTGGAGTCCATTTAAGTTCACACCTACTGCTTCAGTGACTCCATCCAGCCATCTCATTCTCTGTCATCCCCTTCTTCTATTGCCCTCAACCTTTCCTAGCATTAGGCCCTTCTCCAGTGAGTCCTTCCTTATCATTAGGTGGCCAAAGTATTTGAGTTTCAATTCAGGATCTGGCCTTCTAAAGAGTAGTCAGGGTTGATCTCTTCAAGGACTGACCGGTTTGAATGCCTTGCAGTCCAAGGGACTCGCAAGAGTCTTCTCCAGCACCATAGTTCAAAGGCCTCAATTCTTTGGTGCTCAGCCTTTCTTATGGTCCAACTTTCACAGCCATACATTGCAACTGGGAAAACCATGGCCTGGACTATACGCACTTTTCTTGGCAGGTGATGTCTCTTGTGCTTTTTAGTACGCTGTTAGATTTGCCATAGCTTTCCTTCCCAAGGAGCAAGCGTCTTTTTAATTTCTTGGCTGCAGTCCCATCTGAGGTGAGCTGGGAGCCCAGCAAAAAGAAAGCTGCACCACTCCAATTTTTCCACATCTATCGCCAGGAATTGATGTGGGCCGGAGTGCCCATGATTTTTGGTTTTCTTAATGTTGAGTTTAAGCAACGTTTGCCTCTCCCTTCTTCACCCGACATCAAGAGGCTCCTTAGTTCCTCTTCACTTTCTGCCCTTAGAGTGTTGGTATCATCTGCTATACTAGGTTGTTGCTTATTTCTCCCCGGAATCTTAATTCCAACTTTTGTTTCATCTAGCCCTGCCTTTCTCACGATGTGCTCTGCATATAAGTTAAATAGGCAGGGCGACAGTATACAGCCTTGCCGGACTCCTTTTCCAATTTGAACCCATCAGTGGTTCCGTGTCCAGTTCTCACTGTTGCTTCTTCACCCGCATATAGGTTTCTCAAGAGACAAATAAGATGGTCTGGTATTCCCATCTCTTTAAGAACTTGCCACAATCCACACAATGAAAGGCTTTAGCATAGTCAATGAAGCAGAAGTAGATGTTTTTCTGGAACTCCCTAGCTTTCTCCATGATCCAGTCGTATCGCGCTTCCATGTGTTACACCTTAAGAGGTTGCTCCTAAAAGTGCACCCCGCTCGCCCCCTTCAAGCAAACCCAGATGTTTTTATTCAAGAATAGTTTTGTTTGTCCTGCCCTTCTTTTTCTTTAAGGAGTTCGTACGTATGTAGGTTTGTATTTGGCTTGGTGTTTCTAAACTATATTTCTTAGAGATACCTATGTATTAATATAAGCGCAATATCAAATATCTATTTGAAATATTGTGTATTTTTATTACGAAACGATCAATATAAAAATAAATGTAGTGTATTTTGAAAAAGTATATAACCTATCGTTCCCTTATAGGTTTATCATTTAAAGGATGGATAAAAGGGGTGAGACGTGCGAAGTTGCAACTAATGGCATTTATTAATTTGGTCGCCGCCCATCTAACTTTGTAGGCCTTCGTCTATTACTAAGGTATTAATACCGTTAATAAAGATAGAGAATACGGTCATTTTAAAATGCCATTAAAAAGGTTTATTTCTTTGGGTGGCCGCAACACCCATTTTTGACCCCAGGAGGGCACAGTTTTCTGTCCCATAGCTTTGGCTTGGAGTCCATCCTAGGCCTTTTTAATGGCCTCCATCCTATAGCTAAGGCAGGGGTAAGGCAACCTTGGCTCTTTGATGACTGGTGGACTTCAACTCCCAGAATTCCTGAGCCAGCCCTGATAAGGGACGGAAAACTGGTCAAATCAGATACTGCGGCCAGAAAAATAAATAAACCTCTTTAAGATGATTATTCTTGATTATTAAAACCTTATTAATATGAATAAGCCACAATAGGCCTTAACTCGGTTTAAGATTGGAACCAGGATTTCTTCTGCGCCCGTGTGTCACCGACCGGGCCCCCCCGTCGCCACGTTAATATTAATCATAAGGCGTTAAGAATAAAAATAGAGAAGAGTAAGCTTCAAATGCTATTCAAAAGTATTTATTTCTTTGGGCGGCAGCAGTACCCGTTTTTGACCACAGGAGGGCAGTGGTTCCCGTCCCATAGCGTTACCAGGGAGGCCGTCGTAGGCCACTTGCCCAGGATCGGGACACCGAGAAGCTAAGCCCCAAAGCGCAGAGCGTCAGACAAAGGGTCGCCACTCTATGCTCCTCCGAAAGGGACGGGCCGCTTCCCTCGGCCTTCTGCGCATGTCGGCCGGCTGGTTCTTGACGAGTAATCTGCGAGAGGCCCTCTCTGGACGGCGGGCTTCCTGTCCGTCGGTATCGGCCGTCCCCCAGGTGCTGCGGTAAAAGGACCTTTCCATCATGTCCGACTTCCGTTCCTTCGTTCTTAATCTTTCCCCCTACTTCCTTTCGGGTAGACCTCCTCAGCATGTCCGACTTCCTATCCGCGCAAATTCGCCGTCCTCCAGGTTCGTTAAATTGCGACCTTCCCAATATGGCCGACTTCCGGTCCGTTCTTCTTAATCGTCCTTCCACTTCCTTTTTTTCGGGGACCTTCTGGGCAGGGCGGACTCCACGTCCGATCAACGAGGTAAGCCTTGAAAACCCCATTCAAAAGGCTTATTTCCCTTGGCGGCCGCAATACCCGTCCCATAGCATTTACCAGCGTAGGCCTTTTCCACGGCCTCAATGCCGCTATCGCTAAGGGAGGGAAAACAGTGCCCTCCCGTGGCCAAGCCGGGTATAGCTGCCACCAAAAGAAATAAACCTTTGAAAATGGCAAAAGGGCCTCCCGTCGCCCTATTAATATTAATAAGAGGCTACTAATAAAGACGGGGGGAAAATAAATAGCCTTAAAATCCCATTTAAAAGCTTTATTTTTTTCGGCGACCGCAGTACCCGTTTTTGACCACAGGAGGGCACACGTTTCCGTCCCGTAGCATGACCATCGACGACGACCACGACGTTCCCAGTACGGCCGAGTTCCTGTCCATCCGCCGAGGCCGTCCCCAACTTCCTGTCCGTTCCCTGCTTTTTCCCGTGCTCTTTTCTGCACTACGTTGACGGAGCGCACGTCTACCGGCGAGGCCTCAGGAAGGAAAAAAGGAAGCCTGCTACTGCCTCAGGTGAGCCGAGCCATCCCCGCATTTCCTGATTCCCGAAAGATACCGGCTTTCTCTATTACCTAGTTAGCGGGGGATCCCCACCGTCCCCCTCCCCCGCCTCCTCCCCGGCAACTCGTTTGGTCCTCTCCCCTAAGATGTCCGCCTGGCCGTTCCTGGCCTTTCGCCGCCGGTGTCTGTAAAAATGCGACCGAGAACCGGTGGCGGCGGCGGCCCCCGAGGTTGCGAGACCTGGTCTCTTTGCGCTCTTTCCCTTTCAGCTATAGGGGCTAAATTGGGAACGTAGAGACGAAGTTAGCTTGTTTTAACAACACACTTCGGGGTGGTTTACGCGAGCTCAGCCGCGGCTTCTTTTTAGCTCCTTTTTAGAGGCGGGGCCGGCGGGACACGCTCCATGCTTTTGGCGTCCGGATCGGGAAGGGGGTTCCGACCCGTCTCGGGGGTCTCCTCGAAGGCTGCCAAGCAAGGCAGCCGTTGAATGGTGTTTTCCCAGCGCCCGAGTCCCGGATGTAGAAGAACCAGTCGTATCGCGCTTCCCTGTGTTACACCTTAAAGAGGTTGCTCCTCCAAAAAGTGCACCCCGCTCGCCCCCTTCAAGCAAATCCAGGTGTTTTTATTCAAGAATAGTTTTGTTTGTCCTGCCCTGCTATTTCTTTAAGGAGATCGTACGTATGTAGGTTTGTATTTAGGTTTGATGTTTCTAAACTATATTTCTTAGAGATCCCTCTGTATTAATATAGGCTCAATATCAAATCTCTATTTGAAATTTTGTGCATTTTTATTAAGAAACGATCAATGTAAAAATAAATGCAGTTTATTTTGAAAATGTGTATAACCTATCGTTCCCTTCTAGGTTTATCATTTAAAGGATGGATAAAAGGGATGAGACGTGAGAAGTCGCAACTAATGGCTTTTATTATTTTGTTCGCCGTCCATCTAACTTTGTAGACCTTCGTCCAAAACAAGTCAGGGTTAGGAAGGGTAGGAGATTTCTTCCTTTCCTCTCCAGGTTGCCGTAAACAGCCCACCCACCGCCCAGAGGTAAGAGAAAGGTAAAGCAGGTCTCTCTGGGGGAAGCAGGAGACCCGGGTCTTTGCAGAGTTCGGCTTGCAATTTTGCTAACTTCCCCCAGTCACAACTGCATCGACTGATGTAGCGGCCAGGAGGAAGGGTGGGGACGCCTGCCAGATGAAAGCTTCAGCCTTTTTGGAAAAGGCAGTGGAGAAAGGAGGTCACGCTCCCTGGATTTCCAGCCTAGAGCCTCTGCCGGATGGGTGACCCCCCACCCCTTGCTGTGGCTGTTAAGAAGGAACTGGGGGGAAACAGGTAAGTTGTCCTTGAGGATTCCCCCCCCCCCTTTTTTGCCACTTTCAGTGAGGTTAAGGCTTTTCCTTTTAAAGAGACAGGGATGGAAATGGAGTAAGGTTGGGAGCCCAGTAAAAATCCCAAGAGGAAGCGGGAAACAGGGTGGGAGGTTGCGATCGCCACCACTCCTCTCAATATTTCAGTTTTGGTGGGAAATAGCGGGAGGGACCTCTCCAAGGACCTTCCCATTAGCAGAGCTTGGCAGTCTACCGGAAAGGGCCTTTTCTGGCACACCAGGCAAGCCGTGCGACAGCATCTTTGGGTGATCCTCACGGGCCCCGCTTTCCGGGTATTTAGGGACAAGGTAAGAACGCATCTCTTTGGACGAGCTTTTGATTTCTGAGCAATCCTCTGGTGTAATTTTAAGAGCGATTTCAATTGCGTTAATGTGGTTTGTAGATTACAGCGTTAGCGTTTTATGAAGCACTTTGATGGCAGGAGAAACAAAAATCGCCAACAAACTCGGAGTGCTTGGGTATGGTTAGGAGGGCACTGACTTTTCTAGGCTGACCTATGTATGTTTCCTGGTAAAATACATGGGAAAATCCCATTGGAGGGGAAAAATTCCAGTTAGGGTTAGGGTTACGTCACCGTGAACTCCTAGAGCAAAATGGACATCGCCAACAACTCGGAGTGCTTGGGTATGGTTAGGAGGGCACTGACTTTTCTAGGCTGCCCTTTCTATGTTTCCTGGTAAAATACATGGGAAAATCCCATTGGAGGAAAATTCCAATTAGGGTTAGGGTTACGTCACCATGAACTCCTAGAGCAAGATGGATATCGCCAACAAACTCGGAGTGCTGGGTATGGTTAGGAGGGCACTGACTTTTCTAGGCTGGCCCCTTTCTATTTTTCCCTGGTAAAATACATGGGAAAATCCCATTGGAAGGAAATTCCACTTAGGGTTAGGGTTACGTCACCTTGAACTCTAGAGCAAAATGGACATCGCCACCAAACTCGGAGTTCTTGGGTATGGTTAGGAGGGCACTGACTTTTCTAGGCTGCCCTATGTATGTTTCCTGGTAAAATACATGGGAAAATCCCATTGGAGGAAAATTCCACTTAGGGTTAGGGTTACGTCACCGTGAACTCTTAGAGCAAAATGGACATCGCCAACAAACTAGGAGGGCTTGGGTATGGTTAGGAGGGCACTGACTTTTCTAGGCTGCCCTTTCTATGTTTCCTAGTAAAAAAGTGGGAAAATCCCATTCGAGGAAAATTCCTCTTAGGGTTAGGGTTACATCACCATGAACTCCTAGAGCAAAATGGACATCGCCAACAAACTCGGAGTGCTTGGGTATGGTTAGGATAGCATTGACCTTTCTAGGCTGCCCTATCTATGTTACCTGGTAAAATACATGGGAAAATCCCATTGCAGGACAATTCCAGTGAGGGTTAGGGTTACGTCACCGTGAACTCTTAGAGCAAAATGGACATCGCCAACAAACTCGGAGTGCTTGGGTATGGTTAGGAGTGCACTGACCTTTCTAGGCTGCCCTATGTATGTGTCCTAGTGAAATACATGGGAAAATCCCATTGGAGGAAAATTCTGTCAGAATACAGCTGGAAGGGACCTCGGAGGTCTTCTAGTCCAGCCGCCTGCTGAAGCAGGAGACCCTACGTGGAATTTTCCTCCAATGGGCCCTATTAATAAGGTGTTAATACCGTTAATAAAGATAGAGAATACCGTCATTTTAAAATGCCATTAAAAAGGTTTATTTCTTTTGTTGTTGTTGTTAATTGCGAAGTCGTGTCTGACCCATAGCGACCGCGTGGACAATGTTCCTCCTGTCCTCTACCATCTTCTGGAGTCCATTTAAGTTCACACCTACTGCTTCAGTGACTCCATCCAACCACCTCATTCTCTGTCGTCCCCTTCTTCTATTGCCCTCAATCTTTCCCAGCATTAGGCGCTTCTCCAGTGAGTCCTTCCTTCTCATTAAATGTCCAAAGTAGTTGAGTTTCAACTTCAGGATCTGGCCTTCTAAAGAGCAGTCGGGGTTGATCTCTTCTAGGACTGACCGGTTTGAACGCCTTGCAGTCCAAGGGACTCGCAGGAGTCTTCTCCAGCACCATAGTTCAAAGGCCTCCATTCTTGGCGCTCAGCCTTCCTTATGGTCCAACTTTCACAGCCATACATTGCAACTGGGCAAACCATGGCCTGGACTATACGCACTTTTGTTGGCAGGGTGATGTCTCTGCTTTTTAGTACGCTGTCTAGATTTGCCATAGCTTTCCTTCCCAGGAGCAAGCGTCTTTTAATTTCTGGGCTGCAGTCCCCATCTGAGGTGATCTTGGAGCCTAGAAAAATAAAATCTGTCACCACCTCCATTTCTTCCCCATCTATTTGCCAGGAATTGAGTGGGCCGGATGCCATGATTTTGGTTTTCTTAATGTTTAGTTTCAAGCCAACTTTTGCACTCTCCTTCTTCACCCGCATCAAGAGGCTCCTTAGTTCCTCTTCACTTTCTGCCCTTAGAGTGGTATCATCTGCATATCTTAGGTTGTTGATATTTCTCCCGGCAATCTTAATTCCAACTTTTGTTTCATCTAGCCCTGCCTTTCTCATGATGTGCTCTGCATATAAGTTAAATAGGCAGGGCGACAGTATACAGCCTTGCCGGACTCCTTTTCCAATTTTGAACCCATCCGTGGTTCCGTGTCCAGTTCTCACTGTTGCTTCTTGACCCGCATATAGGTTTCTCAAGAGACAAATAAGATGGTCTGGTATTCCCATCTCTTTAAGAACTTGCCACAATCCACACAATGAAAGGCTTTAGCATAGTCAATGAAGCAGAAGTAGATGTTTTTCTGGAACTCCCTAGCTTTCTCCATGATCCATCGTATCGCGCTTCCCTGTGTTACACCTTAAGAGGTTGCTCCTAAAAGTGCACCCCGCTCGCCCCCTTCAAGCAAACCCAGATGTTTTTATTCAAGAATAGTTTTGTTTGTCCTGCCCTTCTTTTTCTTTAAGGAGATCGTACGTATGTAGGTTTGTATTTGGGCTTGGTGTTTCTAAACTATATTTCTTAGAGATACCTATGTATTAATATAAGCGCAATATCAAATATCTATTTGAAATATTGTGTATTTTTATTACGAAACGATCAATATAAAAATAAATGTAGTTTATTTTGAAAAAGTATATAACCTATCGTTCCCTTATAGGTTTATCATTTAAAGGATGGATAAAAGGGGTGAGACGTGAGAAGTTGCAACTAATGGCATTTATTAATTTGTTCGCCGTCCATCTAACTTTGTAGGCCTTCGTCTATTAATAAGGTGTTAATACCGTTAATAAAGATAGAGAATACGGTCATTTTAAAATGCCATTAAAAAGGTTTATTTCTTTGGGTGGCCGCAACACCCATTTTTGACCCCAGGAGGGCACAGTTTTCTGTCCCATAGCTTTGGCTTGGAGTCCATCCTAGGCCTTTTTAATGGCCTCCATCCTATAGCTAAGGCAGGGGTAAGGCAACCTTGGCTCTTTGATGACTGGTGGACTTCAACTCCCAGAATTCCTGAGCCAGCCCTGCTAAGGGACGGAAAACTGGTCAAATCAGATACTGCGGCCAGAAAAATAAATAAACCTCTTTAAGATGATTATTCTTGATTATTAAAACCTTATTAATATGAATAAGCCACAATAGGCCTTAACTCGGTTTAAGATTGGAACCAGGATTTCTTCTGCGCCCGTGTGGCACCGACCGGGCCCCCCGTCGCCACGTTAATATTAATCATAAGGCGTTAAGAATAAAAATAGAGAAGAGTAAGCTTCAAATGCTATTCAAAAGTATTTATTTCTTTGGGCGGCAGCAGTACCCGTTTTTGACCACAGGAGGGCAGTGTTTCCCGTCCCATAGCCTTACCAGGGAGGCCGTCGTAGGCCACTTGCCCAGGATCGGGACACCGAGAAGCTAAGCCCCAAAGCGCAGAGCGTCAGCCAAAGGGTCGCCACTCTATGCTCCTCCGAAAGGGACGGGCCGCTTCCCTCGGCCTTCTGCGCGTGTCGGCCGGCTGGTTCTTCACGAGTAATCTGCGAGAGGCCCTCTCTGGACGGCGGGCTTCCTGTCCGTCGGTATCGGCCGTCCCCCAGGTGCTGCGGTAAAAGGACCTTTCCATCATGTCCGACTTCCGTCGCTTCGTTCTTAATCTTTCCCCCTACTTCCTTTCGGGTAGACCTCCTCAGCATGTCCGACTTCCTGTCCGCGCAAATTCGCCGTCCTCCAGGGTCGTTGAATTGCGACCTTCCCAATATGGCCGACTTCCGGTCCGTCCTTCTTAATCGTCCTTCCACTTCCTTTTTTTCGGGGACCTTCTGGGCAGGGCGGACTCCACGTCCGATCAACGAGGTAAGCCTTGAAAACCCCATTCAAAAGGCTTATTTCCCTTGGCGGCCGCAATACCCGTCCCATAGCATTTACCATCGAGGCCACCGTAGGCCTTTTCCACGGCCTCAATGCCGCTATCGCTAAGGGAGGGAAAACAGTGCCCTCCCGTGGCCAAGCCGGGTATAGCAGCCACCAAAAGAAATAAACCTTTGAAAATGGCAAAAGGGCCTCCCGTCGCCCTATTAATATTAATAAGAGGCTACTAATAAAGACGGGGGGGAAAATAAATAGCCTTAAAATCCCATTTAAAAGCTTTATTTTTTTCGGCGACCGCAGTACCCGTTTTTGACCACAGGAGGGCACACTTTTCCGTCCCGTAGCATGACCCACGACGACGACGACGTTCCCAGTACGGCCGAGTTCCTGTCCATCCGCCGAGGCCGTCCCCAACTTCCTGTCCGTTCCCTGCTTTTTCCCGTGCTCTTTTCTGCACTACGTTGACGGAGCGCACGTCTACCGGCGAGGCCTCAGGAAGGAAAAAAGGAAGCCTGCTACTGCCTCAGGTGAGCCGAGCCATCCCCGCATTTCCTGATTCCAGAAACATACCGGCTTTCTCTGTTACGTAGTTAGCGGGGGATCCCCACCTTCCCCCTCCCCCGCCTCCTCCCCGGCCACTCGTTTGGTCCTCTCCCCTAAGATGTCCGCCTGGCCGTTCCTGGCCTTTCCCCGCCGGTGTCTGTAAAAATGCGACCGAGAACCGGTGGCGGCGGCGGCGCCGGAGGTTGCGAGACCTGGTCTCTTTGCGCTCTTTCCCTTTCAGCTATAGGGGCTAAATTGGGAACGTAGAGACGAAGTTTGCTTGTTTTAACAACACACTTCGGGGTGGCTTATGCGAGCTCAGCCGCGGCTTCTTTTTAGCTCCTTTTTAGAGGCGGTGCCGGCGGGACACGCTCCAGGCTTTTGGCCTCCAGGTCTGGAAGGGGGTTCCGACCCGTCTCGGGGGTCTCCTCGAAGGCTGCCAAGCAAGGCAGCCGTTGAATGGTGTTTTCCGAGCGCCCGAGTCCCGGATGTAGAAGAACCAGTCGTATCGCGCTTCCCTGTGTTACATCTTAAAGAGGTTGCTCCTCCAAAAAGTGCACCCCGCTCGCCCCCTTCAAGCAAATCCAGGTATTTTTATTCAAGACTAGTTTTGTTTGTCCTGCCCTGCTATTTCTTTAAGGAGATCATACCTATGTAGGTTTGTATTTAGGTTTGATATTTCTAAACTATATTTCTTAGAGATCCCTATGTATTAATCTAGGCGCAATATCAAATCTCTATTTGAAATTGTGTGCATTTTTATTAAGAAACGATCAATATAAAAATAAATGCAGTTTATTTTGAAACTGTGTATAACCTATCGTTCCCTTCTAGGTTTATCATTTAAAGGATGGATAAAAGGGATGAGACGTGAGAAGTCGCAACTAATGAATGGCTTTTATTATTTTGTTCGCCGTCCATCTAACTTTGTAGACCTTTGTCCAAAACAAGTCAGGGTTAGGAAGGGTAGGAGATTTCTTCCTTTCCTCTCCAGGTTGCCGTAAACAGCCCACCCACCGCCCAGAGGTAAGAGAAAGGAAAAGCAGGTCTCTCTGGGGGAAGCAGGAGACCCGGGTCTTTGCAGAGTCCGGCTTGCAATTTTGCTAACTTCCCCCAGTCACAGCTGCATCGACTGATGTAGCGGCCAGGAGGAAGGGTGGGGAGGAAGGGTGGGGACGCCTGCCGGATGAAAGCTTCAGCCTTTTTGGAAAAGGCAGTGGAGAAAGGAGGTCACGCTCCCTCTGCCAAATGGGTGACCCCCCCCCCTTTCTGTGGCTGTTAAGAAGGAACTGGGGGAAAACAGATAAGTTGTTCTTGAGGATTTTTCCCCCCCTTTTTTGCCAGCTTCAGTGAGATTAAGGCTTTTCCTTTTAAAAAGACGGGGATGGAACTGGAGGAAGGTTGGGAGCCCAGTAAAAACCGCAAGAGGCAGTGGGAAACACGGTGGGAGGTTGCGATTACCCCCGCTCCTCTAAATATTGCAGTTTTGGTGGGAAATAGCAGGAGGTAGGATTCCTCTCTTAGGAAAGCTCAGGTCTTTCAGATACCTTGCTGGTCCCCACACACCCCATTTAATCCATTTTCTTGCTGCAGAGAGAGATTCTGTTAAGTTCTAGCTGGAACTCCACGTCTCTTATTCTGTTGGTAGCTGCTTTGCTTAGGTTGGGTGTAGCCTAGGGATATTTAAAAACAGTGAGGAAAGTCCACAGGAGGCCCCCTTATGCTCCCATCGCCTGTTTCCTGGGAGAGGGGAAGTTATTTATTGAGACTAAAGCGGTCAAGCCCTCTGGGAAGAATTGAGTCCTACGGTTAAAGAAGGAATAGCAGTCACAAAAGGAAATAAATCCTTTTAATATGATTTTAAGATTATTATTATTGATCTATTGAAGTTATTGAATGGTATTAAGGGTCAAAAAACAGTGCCATCCTGTGATTGAAGCAGGTAGAGGAGCCATTAAAAAACTTTTCAATAGAGGAGAATAAATAAAGGTCAAAAGTGAAAATATGTCTATAATAATGTATAATAATATGAATTATTCTTAGTAAGAAGTAGAACATGTAGGAAGAAAAATGTAAATAAGAAATAATGGGGCTATAAGGACAAATATTCTAAAGAAGAATAAGGGGGAAATGTAAATATTAGATTACCGTTACGTAATTGCTGTAAAAAAAAGGAGTATATATTGTATGTGTATGTGTGTTATATTTTGCTTTGTTCTGTTTTGTTGGTTAAAAATAAAAATTAAAAAAAAACTTTTCAATGGCATTTTAAGGTTATTCTTTATTATTAAAACCTTATTAATATTAATAGGGCATCATAGTCCTCCTTAACTAGATTTAAGGCTTTTGAAGCAGATTTCTTCTTCCGCGCCTGCGTTGCAGCAAACGGGCCTCCCCTGGCCCTATTAATAAGGTGTTAATACTGTTAATAAAGATAGAGAATTTAAAATGCCATTAAAAAGGTTTATTTCTTTTGGTGGCCACAATACCCGTTTTTGACCAGAAGAGGGCACACTTTCCCGTCTCATAGCTTTAGCTTGGAGTCAATGGTAGGCTTTTTTTAATGGCCTCCATCCTATAGCCAAGGGACAGAAAACTCTGTCAAATCAGATACTGCAGCCACAAAAATAAATAAACCTCTTTAATGGCGTTTTAAGATGATGATTATTCTTTATTATTAAAACCTTATTAATATTAATAAGCCACGATAGGCTCATTCCCATCCCCTACTACACTTGACTTGCAATCACGGTCTACAGGCCATGTGGCAAAGTACCACAAGTGGTACACATACCACTGGTTGAAAAGCCCTGCTCTATAATTATTAATATCAAGGCTTCTAATAATACAGATGCAAAAGAATAACCTCAAAATCCCGACTGTTCTGTTCCCTGAACCTGTCTTGCCCTCTCCGGCTGTAAAACGGGGCCCAGGGGCCATTTTACAAATGCAGATGGGGCAACTAAGCCTGAGAAAGAATCCCTGAAATTTATGTTTCCAACATATGAACTGTATCTCTATGTTCCCAATTTGGCCTCTTGTTTTTCTCCCTCTGAAGTGGAAAGGGCACAAAGAGACCCAGCCTCCTAGTCTCTCGTACCGGCATCCAGCCGCCTGCTTAGGGACAGGAAGTCGGCCATGCCGAGAAGGTCGTTCTGAATGGAAGTGGAAGGACGGCCACAGAAACGGACAGGAAGTTGGCCATCCCGGGGAGGTCGGTGTGTAAGACAGTGGAGGACTACTGCGCATGTGTGACTGGAAGTTGGCAGGTAAGGTTGATTTCCTTGTGTGGCTGCTATTCCTGCCTAAGGCTGCGTTCTGATGACTTTGCCCCTAAAATAACAACATAGTCTTTCATATCTTGGGAAAGCCTGACTTTTTTGCCCTCTTTTGGGCAAGGAAAGAGTAGGGCCTCAGGTTTTTAAGAAGAGACTTGACAACCATTTGTCTGAAGTGGTACTATAGGCTTTCCTGCTGGACTACAAGACCTTCCAACTCTATTGTTGTTATTGTTGATCTCCCAAAGCAATTGCTCACTGTATTTTCTTCTACTGTTTAGAAGGAAAAACATAACAGAAAGGAGAAACTATTCTCCTTTTAGCCGTTGTTTTGTGGTTAATTCAGGGTTCGGGGGAAATTTGACCGGCTCCTCTGGTTCAAGCCTGTGCTCCAGCTCAAAATATGGAGTTGTGTTGTTTTGAGAAGGCTGTGCCAATAGCAACTGGGAGGTCTTGTGGCAGGATTTGATTCTCTTCACCCCAAGACCAGCTGGTAAAAGCAGGAAATTAAACCGATCAAGAATTCTGGTGATTTGTTATGATTCCTACAACTCAGTGCTTTTTTCTTAGGCCCTAGGAGTAGGTAACCCAAAACACTCGAAGAGCCACTTGGACCCATTTACAACCGAAAACATCTTTTATGACTCATGGACTTCTACTCCCAGAATTCCTGAGTCAGCATAGCTGGGCTAGCTAGCTCTCTCCTGCCCTTCCTGCTTCCTGCAGAGACGCAGCAAAAGGAGGAGTGCCATCCAGTAAGCTTTTTAGCTCGTCGGAGAACACTGTGAGTCCACTCTCTTTTTTACACACACACACACACACACACAGAGAGAGAGAGAGAGAGAGAGAGAGAGAGAGAGAGAGAGAGAGGAGGGGGGAAGCGCAAGTGCCTCTCTCTCTGTCTGCAAATGGCAGAGGAGGCTGGGAGCCGCAGGGGAAGGCTCAAAGAGCCATATGCGGCTCCAGAGCCGCAGGTTGCTGACTCCTAGGGGCACTCAGAGTACACCTTTGATAAAGGAATATACATAATAAGCAAACACGTATAAAACTGAGTTTAGTCAAAGCAGCAAAGTCTGCCCTCTTGTGGCCAGTGTGCTGTAACGTTTAGCAAAGAAGCCCTGAAGTGGCTTATTTTTATTCTTTCATTTCCTTCCTTGGATGGAAGCTCAAAGCAGCCACAGAAGAGGCTGCTGGGAATACAAAAGATAATTGCAGAAGCTAAAATTTCATTTCTAATAGGGCACTGAGGAGGGCAAAACAGGGAATGCTGCCCTCCTGTAGCCAGGTAAGTCCATGGCATTTTTTCCCCAAGGTACAGCAGAAAAGGTTACTGGATAGATTAAATATAGATTGGGTGTCAAACTCAATTTCACTGAGGGCCGCATCAGCATTGCAGTTGCTTGGGGGGGGGGAGCTGGGGTGTGTGGCCAGAGTGGGTGTGGCCTACTGGGTGGGTGTGCATGGAGTGGGTGTGGCCTACTGGGTGGGCGTGCCCAATTCTACACCAGTCGCGTCAAGGGTGCCTGTGGGGGTCTGGGCAGGAATGGGACAGATCTGAGGGTCTCTGGCAGAAGGGGGTGGGACGGGGGCAAGTGCCAAGGCATGGTCCACTGGGGCAAGTACCAAGATGGCCACCACAAAATTGTACATTGGCTCCCAGCCGGCTGGGGCCAAGACAGCGGGCTCCCTCACTGTTTCCAGGATGGCTTCGTGGGCCACATGAAACCACTTTGCGGGCCACATCCGGCCCCCGGGCATTGTGCTTGACATGTCTGATATAGATGATTAATAGGTGAGATAGATAATAGATGAGAGAGGGAGAGAGAGAAATCTAAAACATTTGTTATATAAAGCACAAAAAACTTCATTGGAAGTTTATTTTGGTAGAACCCCCAAATCCTTACAAAAGATGATCCTCGGTGATTTCGGCACAGGGCAGGAGCACAAGGTGCCTAACAGGTCCAAGCTCCTGACCGCAGGATCCCAAATATATTCATATTCATATTAGTAAAGTTGGAAGGGACCTTGGAGGTCATCTAGTCCAACCCCCTGCTCGGGCAGGAAACCCTACACCATTTCGGACAAATGGCTGTCCAGTCTCTTCTTAAAAACTTCCAGTGTTGGAGCATTTACTGCTTCTGGAGGCAAGCTGTTCCACTGATTAATTGTTCTCACTGTCAGGAAGTTTCTCCTTAGTTCTAGGTTGCTTCTCTCCTTGATTAGTTTCCACCCGTTGCTTCTTGTCCTGCCTTCAGGTGCTTTGGAAAATAGCTTAATTCCCTCTTCTTTATGGCAGCCCCTGAGATATTGGAATACTGCTATCATGTCCCCCCTTGTCCTTCTCTTCGTTAAACTAGACATACCCAATTCTAGCAACCGTTCCTTATGTTTTAGCCTCCAGTCCCCTAATCATCTTTGTTGCTCTTCTCTGTACTCTTTCTAGAGTCTCAACATCTTTTTTACATCGTGGTGACCAAAACTGGATGCAGTATTCCAAGTGTGGCCTTACCAAGGCATTGAAGAGTGGTATTAATACTTCACGTGATCTTGATTCTATCCCTCTGTTAATGCAGCCTAGCACTGTGTTGGCCTTTTTGGCAGCTGCAGCACACTGCTGGCTCATATTTAGGTGATTGTCTACTAGGACTCCGAGGTCCCTCTCACAGTTACTACTATTGAGCATGGTGCCACTTATGCTGTACTTGTGCATTTGGTTTTTCTTGCCTAAATGTAGAACCTTGCTTTTTTCACCATTGAATTTCATTTTGTTAGTTAGTGCCCAGTGTTCAAGTCTGTCCAGATCCTTCTGTACCTGAAGCCTGTCTTCTGGAGTGTTGGCTATTCCTGCCAGCTTGGTGTCATCTGCAAATTTGATGAGTTCCCCATCTATCCCTTCATCCAAATCGTTGATGAAGATGTTGAAGAGTACTGGGCCCAGAACAGAGCCCTGGGGCACCCCACTACACACTTCCCTCCATATAGATGCAGTTCCATTGAGGACCACTCGCTGAGTACGGCCGGTCAGCCAGCTACGGATCCATCTGGTGGTGGTTCTGTCTACCCCACATTTTTCTATCTTGTCAAGTAGTAGGTTGTGATCTACTTTATCAAATGCCTTACTGAAGTCCAAGTAAATTATGTCCACAGCATTCCTCTGATCCACTAATTTTGTCACTTGGTCAAAGAATGCAATAAGATTTGTCTGGCATGATCTATTTTGGACAAACCCGTGTTGGCTTTTAGTAATGACTTTGTTTGCCTCTAGGTGTTCGTTGATTCGTTGTTTGATTATCTTTTCCAGGATCTTCCCAGGTATTGAGGTCAGGCTGATAGGTCTGTAATTTCCTGGATCCATTTTTTTTCCTTTTTTGAGGATGGGAACTACATCAGCTCTTTTCCAGTCCTCTGGTAGTTCCCCTGTGTTCCAGGATCTTTGAAAAATATAGTTCAGTGGCTCCGATATCACATCTGCCAGTTCCTTGAGAACTCTGGGATGTAATCCATCTGGTCCTGGCGATTTGAACTCATCTAGGCTGGACAGGTGCTCACTAACCATTTTCTTGCCTATCTTAATTTGTGTTTCTGTTTTGTTTTTTATGGCACTATTTTTGATAGGTTGGTCTGTTTTTTCCCTTTGTGTAAAGACAGATGCAAAAAATGAGTTAAATAGTTCTGCTTTCTCCCTGTTGCTTGTCACCTTCTTGCCACTTCCACCCACTAATGGACCAATCATTTTCTTCACTTTTTTCTTGTTTTTTACATGTTGAAAGAAGCTTTTTTTGTTATTTTTGACTTTGGTCGCAAGCCTTAGTTCATTTTGAGCCTTGGCTTTCTTCACTTCATCTTTGCAGGCTCGGGCTATTTGCTGATATTCTGACTTAGTTATGTTCCCCTCTTTCCACTTTCTATACTTGTCCTTTTTATCTTTCAATTTGTCAGAGAGTTCTTTATGCAGCCATGCTGGTTTCTTTTGGGAGCTGTTGTTTTTCCTCTTTGTTGGTATTGTGCTAGACTGTGCTTTTATTATCTCATTTTTCAAAATTTCCCAAGCTTCTTGAGTTGTTTTCCCCTTGAGGATTCTCATCCATGGAATCCTTCCCAAGCCCTCTCTAAGTTTATTGAAATTAGCTCTCTTGAAGTCCAAGACTCTAGTTTGACTGTGTTCTATTGGTTGTGCTTCTATAATGTTGAATTCTAATATTGCATGATCACTTCCTCCCAGGGTTCCTATGGCTTCAACACCGTCTATCATTTCATCTCTGTTAGTGAGAATTAGATCCAAAATGGCTAATCCCCTAGTTCCCTTCTCTACTTTTTGGGAGACAAAGTTGTCTGCTAGGTTTGCCAGGAACCTGTTTGATCTTCCACTTGGTGCGGAGTTTGTCTCCCAGTTGATGTCAGGGTAGTTAAAGTCCCCCATTACTATTGTGATGTGCTTCCTACATACCTTAGTTAGCTGACTAGCAAAAAGTTCATCTATTTCCTCTGTTTGGTTGGGTGGTCTGTAGTATACACCTATGGCAATGTCATTTCCCCTCCCTTTTATATTGACCCAAATGCATTCAAGACAGTTTTTATCATTGTTGTGCTCTATTTCTGTGGAGATGTAGTTATTTCTTATATAGAGAGCAACTCCACCTCCTCTTTTATTTGGTCTGTTTCTTTTAAATAATTTAAATCCCTCTAGCTGTGTGTTCCATGTGTGGGTTTCATCCCACCATGTTTCCGTAATGGCAACAATATCGTATCTGCCCTCATTAACCTGAATTTCTAGTTCACCCTGTTTGCTGTTCATACTCTGTGCATTGGTGTATAAACATTTGAGTCCTTTGTGGGTGGCCCTGTGTTTCCTTTCTACATAACCTGTGTGGTGCCTGAGTTCCCCTATTGTCTTACCACCTATTTGGTTAGTGCACTTTATGTGGCACTCGCTATTAGAGGCTTCATTTTGCTTGATAGCAAGTTTGATATTCTTGTCCACACACACATCTATGCTACATGCACTGATAGCCCTATAGTTTTTAAATTGCCGGGGACAGGGTTGTTCCGTGTCAATTAACTCCCTGTCCCCGCTGTTTAGTTTAAATTTCCCTCCAGAAAATCTGTGAATTTATAGCCGAGTAACTCAGTCCCTTTTTTTGATGGATGCAAACCATCTCTTTTGTACATCTTTTGATTGGACCAGCTACTGACATCGTGACTAATATATCCAAAGCCTTCCCCTTTACACCACTCCTTTAGCCACATATTGAATTGTGCTATGCGCTGGCCTTTTCCGTTTTGCTCCTTATACACTGGTAAGACCTCTGAGAAAGTAAGCCTACAGCCTATTCTGCTAAGTTCCTTCCCCAAGCTCTGGAAATCATTCTGCACAGAGAGTACATCTTTTTGGGATAGATCATTAGTGCCAAGATGTACAATAGCCTCCACATCCAAGTCCTTGCTGCCATTCTTGATTATTTTAGAAATACGCTTCTTGTCCCTACTGGCAGTAGCACCTGGAAGACACCTGACCTCTTTCAAAGCCTCTGTGTCCTTCCCTAAATTTACATCCCTTATAATTGAATCACCTACCAGAAGGTAGCTTCTCTTTTTGGGAGCCTTTCTATTCTTGCATGACTGATGTGCAATACCTGATTCACACTTTTCCCTGTCAGAATCTAGTTCTTCATCTCGGACCACAATCCCCTGCTTATTTGAGTTATCTTCACAAATACCTTTACCTGTCTCCTTAATGTCCCTATTAAGGTCAGCAAGGGCACTGTAACTGTTGTGCAGGGACACAGCGAAAGCTTTGTGTTTATGGTTCACAGCTCTC